TCTTTGGCCGATGGTGTGTAGGGCTCATTCCTTGGTTATATAGGTATTTGTTTGGATGTTKGATGGTTAGACTRTATGAACTACAGTCAGACTGATAGTAATGTCTGTCTTGGTGGTGTTGAACTGATTACCGGGCTGGTTTAATGACTGGTTGTGTTGACTGAACCTTCTCAGAGTTGTTCTCAACAGTGTTTTTTGTTCTCTTGCTCACATCCTAGAAGTAAATTCCTTGAGGGTTGGTATTCTGATTGTGGTTGCTGTGTAGTTGGGTGGTGTTTGGATTGTTTTTCAGTAGTATCCGATGGAAAATTATGAATCAACTTCACCGGGGGTTAAATCGACCCATAGCACTGCGGGTATGGGAGGTGAAAACATGGTTTTTCCCATGCCAATTACCCCTTTAAACGGTCTGAACTACCTGGAGTGGGCTAAGAGCGTAAAACTCTATGTAACAGCAAGGGGTAAAAGCCGGTTACATTAATGGAAGGGTGAAAGAACCCAAAGGTGAGATCTGGGAACAGGCCAGAACTACCTATTCTGAGCAAAGGCATTATGCCAAGGTTTACCAGTTACAAGCTAAATCTTCAACMTGTAAASAGGGAAACCGTAGTTTGTCTTCATATTATTCAGCCCTTACCTCCATATGGAAAGAATTGGATCATTATCAGGCTATAGAGTGGAAACATGATGATGATGCTAAGGCCTACAGGAAGTTGGTCTCTCAGCAACGTGTGTTTGCTTTCTTGTTGGGGCTGAACCCTGCATATGAATCGTTGACGGTACAGATCCTAGGAAGCAAAGAATTGCCTACGGTTCACGAGGTATACTCCCTTGTTCAATCGGAAGAAAGCAGGCGGAATGTAATGGTTACAGCTAAGGGGTAACAACAAGTTGCTTTGGCTGCAATGAATAATAACTCCACGGGAAAGAAAAGTGACACTAAGAAGACTGATGATAAAGATAAGTTGTTCTGTACCCACTGTCGGCGTTCACGACATACACGTGACACTTGTTGGGACATCCACGGGAAACCCAAGTGGGCAGCAAAGAATCAAGAACAGGGTAAAGGTCAAGGTCAGAAGAAAATGAACACAGCACATGTGGCAACCCAAGATACTAAAGTTGCCGGTAGTACCCGGGATCACCCTAATAAATCTGACCCCAAGGAAGATATAATGAATTCCTTCAGAGAGAACCTGGAATCTTATGGTAGGGCTTTGCGACAAATGGACAGCTCAGTCACTAGTACTCCCTCTACTTCATTTGCATCTACTTTAGGTAATACGGCTTCTGCATTCCATGTCACTCCCACGGATTCCCCTTGGATCATTGACTCAGGGGCCTCYAACCACATGACCGGTAAGMYVAAYTTGTTTCAGTCTTATAGCCTTTTGTCAGGAAGGGATAGAGTGAGACTTGCAGATGGTTCTTTTTCTTCCATTACAGGCCAAGGATCAATATCTCTTCCCCATGGCCTTAACCTGAATTGTGTATTACATGTCCCTCAACTTCCTATAAATTTGCTTTCAATTAGTAGCATTACAAGCTCCTTGAACTGCAATGTGACCTTTTTTGCTAACTCGTGTGTTTTTCAAGACCTAACTTCTGGGAGGACGATTGGTAGAGGAAGCCTAGTGGATGGTCTCTACATTCTCGACAACAAAGCTGGTCTCTCGTTGTCATCCTCAGAGTCACATAGTCAGTCAAATAAGAGTCAAATTTTTTTGTGGCATAGTCGTTTAGGTCATGCTTCTTTTGAAATAATAAAGTTTTTGTTTCCAGTTTTATTTAAGTCATGTTCAGTGTCAGAGTTCATATGTCAAACGTGTCAGTTGAGCAAACAATGTAGACCAACTTTTCACTCAAGTAATAAAAGATCAAATGTTCCTTTTCATGTTGTGTATTCTGATGTATGGGGACCTACCAATGTAATCTCTGAGGGCGGATGTAAGTACTTTATCACATTGATCGATGATTACTCTCGCTATACATGGGTAATTCCTATGCGTAGTAGAGACGAAATTCCAAAGATAGTGAAAGACTTCCAGAGGATGGTGTTTACACAGTTCCATGTTGAAATACAGATCTTCCAATCCGATAATGCAAAAGAATACTTCCATGGGGAGCTCAATGAGTTCTTTGCCTCCCACGGATCTATTCATAGGAGCTCATGCGCCAGAACACCACAACAAAATGGTGTTGCAGAAAGGAAAAACAGACACCTCCTTGAGGTAGCTCGCGGGATGATGTTACACATGAATGTTCCAAAAAGGTTTTGGGTGGATGCTATACTTGTAGTTGCTTATGTCATCAATCGCATGCCCTCCAAAGTGCTGAACTACATGGCCCCTCAACAGTTATTGTACCCTCAGTCTCCTTTATTTTCCATCCCCATGAGAGTTTTTGGTTGTCGTGCCTTTGTCCATGATTTGTCTCCATCCCGAGGTAAGTTAGACCCTCGATTCATTCCTTGTGTCTTTCTAGGGTATCCCTCCTCTCAAAAAGGGTATCGGTGCTTTGATCCAGTTAGTTGTAAGTTTTTTGTGTCTATGGATGTGTCATTCTTTGTGTCTGAGCCATTCTTCCCTTCTTCTCCTCAGGGGGAGAGTCGTAGTGTAGAAGAGGAGAAGCAGGTTCAGGTATCTCTTCCTTCTATTCCAGACCTTACTCCCTTCCGTGTCTTCCAACGTACACGTCGTAGAAATCAGCAGTGTGATAAAGATATGGAGCAGCCAAACACTGAGCAACTGACACCATTAGACTCCTAGGAGGTAAACCCACCCCCTAACCCTACTCCTAGTGTGAATGACTTTGACATTCCTATTGCCCAACGAAAGGGAGTTAGGTCATGCACTACCAAACACCCCATTGCCCATTTTGTCTCCTATGATCACATTTCTCCCTCATACCGTGCCTTCCTATCTGCAATTGATTGCATCCCTGTTCCCAGAAATGTTGCAGAAGCCTTAAAATGCCCTAAATGGACAGATGCCATGAAGGAGGAGATTAATGCTCTTCACAAAAATCAGACTTGGGAATTGGTGGATCTGCCAAATGGGAAAGACCCTGTGGGGTGTAAATGGGTGTTCACGATTAAGTACAAGGCAAATGAAACAGTTGAAAGGTACAAAGCAAGATTAGTAGCCAAAGGATACACACAAGTATACGGGGTTGACTATGATGAGACTTTTGCCCCAATGGCTAAGATGAACTCGATTAGGGTTCTCCTGTCCTTAGCTGCTAATCTTGATTGGGAATTGCATCAACTAGACATAAAGAATGCCTTTCTGAATGGTGACTTAGAGGAGGAAGTATACATGGTTCAACCCCCTGGATTCTATGCCAAGGGGAGTGAAAATAAGGTGTGCAAGCTGCAAAAGTCTCTTTATGGCTTAAAACAGTCTCCCAGAGCCTGGTTCAGTAAGTTTCACATGGCAGTTCAATATATGAGCTTCAAACAATGTCAGATCATACACTCTTTGTGAAGAAATGTCAGGAACAGGTTGTTGTATTGATAGTATATGTGGAAGATATTATCATTACAGGAAGTTGGAGCTCAAAGATACAAAACTTGAAACAATTCCTTGCATCTAAATTTGAAGTGAAAGATCTAGGCCCCCTAAAGTATTTTTCCTTGGGATTGAAGTTGCTCGCTCAGAAAAGGGTATATTTGTCTCTCAAAGGAAATACACCCTTGATCTATTACAGGATACAGGCAAATTAGGTGCAAGGCCGGCAGATACTCCTATGGATGCAGACCACAAGTTAGGTGACTGTGTTGGTGAACCTCTGAAAGATGTGAAACAGTTCCAAAGGTTAGTGGGAAAGTTTATTTATTTGTCCATGACCCATCCAGACATTGCCTATTCCGTTGGGGTCCTAAGCCAGTTCATGCAGAGAGTTCTTAGATACTTGAAGAAATATCCTGGAACAGGCCTACTATTCAGTAAATACAATCACCTAAAGGTGTAAGTCTTTACAGATGTTGATTGGGCAGGAGCTGTGGATGACAGAAAGTCCACTAGTGGGTATTGCACATTTGTGGGAGGAAATCTGGTGACCTGGAAAAGCAAGAAACGAAGTGTGGTAGCAAGGTCAAGCGCTGAAGCTGAATATAGAGCTATGGCACATGGGGTGGCTGAATCCTTTGGCTAAAGAATCTTCTAGGGGAGCTTAGAGTTGTTGTTCATAGTCCTATGTTTCTTTACTGTGACAACAAGGCTGCAATAAACATCGCCAGCAACCCTATCCTACATGAGAGGACCAAGCACATTGAAGTGGACAAACACTTCATAAGGGAAAAATTGGAAAAAAGGGAAATTTGTATTCCTTATGTCAACTCCAAGGAACAACTTGCTGATGTTCTCACAAAGGGGCTTCCATGCTCGCGGCACAATGAGTTATGTGACAAGCTAGGCATGATAAGCATATTCAGCCCAACTTGAGGGGGAGTGTTGTAAGGCCTATTTAATTGTTACTTTACAGCTGCTGTTAGTAGGCTGACTTCTTAGGATACTGTCAGTTAGTTACTTGTTTTTTCTTATTATTTTGGTTCTAGGGTGTGTCGTCAGGGGCATACTTGTAATTTCTATTCCTTTATTAAGTTAATATAAATAGAAGACTGGCGACAGCTAGTATGAACTTTTTTCTCTCAATCGTACCTCTCTTTTCCTTCTCTCTCTCTCTCTCTCTCTCCATAAATCATTATAGCAACAAAGGCCAAGGCCCTGGACCTGGACAACCCCAAATCAATTCAGATCTTGAAGCTTCTAATTTGGTTAGGTAAGGGTTTAGATAGGAGAAAATTGAATTCATAAATGTAATTAACCAATGATAAATGACTAACAACAATTTTGAAGTGCAAGGAAGGTGAGGAGGAAGCTGAAGTTAGAAAATGAAATTAACAAAAAGTTAGGAATTTGAAACCATGCTCACGAGTATAAACATGACAGGGCCAATAAAATCATGCCTAAAGAAAAAGATCGAAATGATTCACTTACGTCTAAACAAATGGTTCTCTAAGCTTCCCTTTGGCATGAACTCGTAGACTAAAAGCCTGTTCTCCCCATCCAAGCAGTAACCAATAAGTTTAACCAAATTTGGGTGATGAAGTTGGCCAAGATAGTCAACTTCTGTCTGAAATCAATCAGCTATTAGTAAAGGCACACAAAAGGAAGAGGAAAAAAGAATAAGATAAAATACTATTGATGAGGAAACTTACCAACCACTCCTTGTGGCCTTGGAAGCCTTCTGGCTTTAACTTCTTCACGGCAACAACCATTCCAGATCCAGGCCTTGCAGCAGCAAGGGTTTGCTCATCAAGCCATCCTTTATAAACATAACCAAAGCCTCCTTCCCCAAGGAGGCTGTCGGGACGGAAGTTTCTAGTTGCATTCTTTAGCTCCGTGAAAGAGAAGGCTTTCAAATTTGGAGAGGATAATATCTCACCTTCAGATCTGGGAGTAGGAAGACTCTCAGTGGTGCTTTTCTGGCTGTAAGATGGAAATGTCAAATTGGAAGGAGCTGAAGACAAGCCTGTTTTGCCGGTAACTTTTGAAGCTGCTGGAAGTTAAAGGGGGCAAAAAATAAATAGCAGTAGATAGTTTCTATGAATAAATTGAAGTCAAAAAAATAATCTAAGCTCAAACAGGCACCTTTAGTGGCTTTTCAAAAGCCTTTTGAAAAATAATAGATAATTGTTATGGTTCTGCCTATATTAAGAATGAGAGATCCTGAAGAAATGCAAAAGAGTGTATCTTATAATTTGGAAAAACTCAAAAGAGAACTGGAAATAACATATTACAAATATGATTTTTCAAGTTCAACTTTGGATTCAGCAGACAGTTTTGCAATTCTCAACAAACTCCCTGGTTTGTGGGAAAAGAGCACTAAGAGCTCCCTACCATATTTATCTATTCTAGGGTGAGGGCCATGAGGCCTGAACATAGCACATGGTGTAAAATTTAACATAAAACAACAAAAGAATCATAATTAATAACTCGTTAATAACACAAGAAAACAGGTAACTATCATTCAAAATGGTAATGCTTAGGCACTTCCTATATTACCCAGATTGGCAAGGACACAACTGGATACAATATTAGATTCAAAATTTATATTGCTCAAATCTCTGTATCAAATTTTGGGTCTTCCTTTTGGAGTGCTCTTGAGATCCAAGAATGTAATCTGGTTTAGCTTTCTGTATTGTTTGATGGTGTAATCTCTACACCTTGATGTAATCTGTGGTCTTTTTTAATAAATTTTTCTTTTATGTTACTATAAGAAAAAATTACATTAAAAATTGAAGTATCCAACACCACACCCTTGTTCAGGTATCCAGGTACCATAGGTCACTTGTTCAGGTATCCACATATGACCTCTCAGTTATAGTACAATTAGTTTGGGTGGAAACTTTTAAATGACCAGAACATCCTTTTGGATGCAGTAGTACTTTCATAAAGAAATTATGTTTTTACCAAGGCTAGTCAAAGGCACATGCTTTACACATTATGTTACACTTAAAATGAAAAGGAAAAAAAAAACATAAAAATTAAAGAAAGAATTACTATTAATAGTCATAATTGTGAATTCATTAATACTATAAGGAGAAGATATGGCAGTTACTATTTTTTTTAATAAATCCAATTTTAGGAGAGGAGCTTCAAGAAAATGTTACCTATAAGAAAGCAGTTACTAATAATAGCCATAAGCAGTTACTCCTATGACCTTTTTTTGCCCTCCCTTAATTAAATGATAAAGATAGCATAATGGCCTGAACAAATTTACATCCAACAACCAAGATTAACACATAAAACTACAATTGATATGGTAGTCATTACTTGGGCAAAACTCTAAATAAGACTATTCCATAATATCTCTAATCTGAACAGATTTTTGAAATGGCTATAACATCCTAGACTAAAGAGATATGCAGAACCGTAACCAGTGCTTGGTTTGATGGAAAAATCATGGGCTGACAAGCATGGGAACTTGAGTTCAAGTATGAGAATGACCACAAAATAAAAGTGAGGCATCAGGTATTGATTTGAAAATATGATTGTAAGAGCATATATGATTATCACCCTGTACAACCAGAGGTTCTACACATGGAACCAAGAAAACTGAGCAAGTACTAACAAAAGAATGAATTAATAGCTATATGTTTTATACTGAGAACAAGAAATATCCCTGAACAACTTGGTGACTGAGAACCAGAAACAAATTGTGCCAATAACCCTCCTCAACTGTATCCAGAAGAGATGTGTAATCCTAGAAAATATGACCCCATTAATTTCAGTCTAAACAACCCAAAAAATCATAGAGGGGATAAATCTCACAAACCGTTTCCCCTTTCTCTTAGGCCCTTCAGTTGCCAGAACATAAAAAAGTTCCTAACAAATAGCAGCAAAACCCATAATGTACCAAGTACAAAATACAAAGTCTTCCTTTAAACATTACATAAATACTAGCTTTCTCTTGCAATATGAAACATCAAAAGTCTAAATTAAAATCCACAATAAAATAGGAATTGTAACATCTTATTAAGGGCTTCAAAAAATATGTAACATCTTATTAAGATTTGTCATTTATCAGTCAAATGAATATGCAAACACTTTTACATTAAGTTTGAATGCATAACCCTTAAAACTGAAATCACCTGAGCTGCATTGTAAATATGGGTTGAGCAGATAGCCATTTTTCTTATGTATGTTGTACTACTCAGCTTTTAAGGTGTATGAGGAATGGGGTTATTTTAGGATTAGGAAGAAAAGAGGAATGGGATTATTTTAGGATTAGGAAGAAAAATTTATAGTCAGGAATTTTAATGTATCAACCCCCATTGGGATCTTTTTATAATTCTAATATTAATATAACGAGTCTCCCTTATTAGAAAGAGATATAGGCATGTGGTGTCGCTAAACTCAACATTTTATCTTTCATCTCCTTGTTCTCCCCTTTCTCTTTTCTCACCTTATTTACAACAAGAAGACTCTGACAATGATGAAAATGTTGATGATGGTGTATTCATATCTGCAAATTAAATCTCTCGATAATCTATTTTTCTTATTCTACAGTTCTTCTTGTATTCAGTACATATTTATTTTTTGGCATTTTGGGATGTCTATCAACACTCAACAGTCCTGTTAGTTCAATCTCCTTACTCCTAATCTCAGTTTATCCTCGCGTGGTTCCTTTTATCAGATATGATTTTACTATATATAGAAAGTTGTTAATTTACTATAAATAGTAATGTTGTTTTATTAAAAATAGTAATTATTATCTATTGGTTTGTCACTCTTGAATTTCCTAGGCCTTAAGAATTTTTAGAGAATTTTTAAATAACTCTTGATCCATAAAAAAAGAGTTCTAATTGCTTCCTGAAAATCAAGAAAAATTGTATCTGATGATTTCTGCTTGACTGGTGCTTTTCTATCCAAATCTAACATGGCTCAAGACTTTTTATTTTTTGATAGGAACATGGCTCAAGACATTTTAGGATTCTTATAAATTTCTAGATCCAGCTATTCACATTTTGTTGGATCTTGTGAAGAATTTTGTGAGATCCCCCATTTGTCCCCTTCTATTTTGATGCCTATTGGGACTTATCCCCTTGAGTTTATTTCCTAATCACATAAATACATAGAGGCTTGAACAAAAAATTGAACATTAACATGTTAGAATTCCAGAGGTTACATGTCATAATGCATGGAAGCAATAAGGCACATGCCTGAATCCAGCTAACCACCCATTTACCAATATCTCCCCATCTATAGGTAGTTGCATTATCAAGTTGATCCACAATGGTGGGAATAAGGTTTAGTATTCTTGAACCAACTTCAAGGAAACTCTCAAACCCATAAAAACTATCAAAAATTCAAAATAATAAATGAATGAAGGACCACTTAAATTGACTCCATACAAATCATAAACACCCATAAGTCCAATTATTGTGCATTTCAAAATTTTTACAGAACATTACATCAAAATTTCGACCAATCATGTTAAAGACGTCACATGGTCTACTTACTTTTCATTGGTTCACGTTTAACAAGGTGTACTTTTACATGGTTTTTTTTTATCATTAAAAACTTTAACAACGTTAAATATAGCACTGTGATGTGTTGCTTTATCACCGGCTCATTCATGTTTGAATTTAGTTGCAGCAATTTTCATAGAATGCACCATGGATTTTGCCAACACATCCAAAACAAATTAACATCATAAGACAAAATTGAATAAAGTCGTATTTTAATGGTAACGAACCATAATAGTTTTAATTAATAATTACTCTAAGGCTCAGGGATCCAAAAAGACAAGTAAATGCAACATAAAATTAATGAGCATCTCAAGCCGCTCAAAATATAACTAATGATTCAAATTTATAAGCACACTAGAGAAATAAAACAGCTTGTTTACCAGTTTTGGAAGTCCAACCTAAACCTCAGACCCCAAATTAAAAAATAAAAGTAAACGATCAGATGAAATCCGTCAAAATCCATGAAGAATTCGTATTTCAATATGCATTGAATGTTCAAGAAAAGAAAGATCAAAAATACGCATCACATTCAAACCAAAGTACAAAGCTAAGATACTGAAAACAAAGTTCGGACTCGAACAGCCAAAAGTCCCGCTAAACTAGCAAGCAATCCATCCTTCCTCTCCAAGTTAAAAGTTATAACCATGGAAAGCCCAACAGAATTGGGAAATCCAGCACTGGAACAGGACCATAAATAATCAGAGACAAAACCAATTCCCAAAATCACGAGCAAAAATAGCTAAAACCCAATCAATAGAGACAGGTGTAGCGCGAATTAAGCCCATAAAACCACTCCTAGCCTTCTGCAGACCTTTAATTCACAATTATCAGATACTCAGCACAGAAATCCAAAACAACCAAAACCCACGGACACTCCTCATTCCTAAGCCCAACTGCCGAACCAAACCGAAGAAAAAACTTCAAATTTCACACAAACAGAAAAAAGAATTTTCCGTCGAATCTTACAAGAAGTGTTCTGAGTGCTATGAGCATTCTCTACCCTGGCAGAAGCATCCAAGCAGTTGCCCATGGATGCTGAAATGGGAATTCCCTTAGTACCAACCGATCAACAGCTCATGATAAAATTAAAACGCCAAATTCCACTGAATCCAAGACCAACAGTCTATTCGGTTTCCAGAGAGAAATTGAACTAGAAAGCTTGCGGTTTCTGAAAAACAAAGCAACAGCGGAGGAAGCAGGATAGAAAACTCTGAGAAGAAAGTGACGCCTTGGTCCCTGTAAGATACGACAAACCTTTGTGCGAGGTCTGAGGTCTAAATGTGCATTTCATTTTCAATGAAATAATGAAATTACTAAAACACCCATTAGTGTGGGAAAAGGACAGTAGAATTGTGCAGAATGACAAAATAACCCCTCAGTATAGCTGTCTTCCGAATCAGGATTTCGTTCTCACACCCTTTCCAGCCGTACATTAGGAGAATCTGTCTTGTCTTTCGTAATGGATTTCGAAGCTAAGATTGGACTGGTCTCTTAAATCTAAACCATCCAATATTTACCCGTTAGACGTTACGTAGATATCCGAAAGTAAGGTTTGGATCGTTGAAATTATGGTCTCGATAAATTCGGATTTCGTCTCACAAAAATGACAAAACCGTCCTCGCATCATCCGCGCCCCAAAAACGCCCCACAGCCAATCCAGCTGTGTATTGGTAACATCTCCCAATGATAAGAAGATTAATCCCACTCCTAATAAATTCAACAATAATAATATAATTTTTTTCTTATGGTAGATAAACTAAATAGAGATGGTGGAATGCATTAAATTATTAAGATATCTATTTGAACTTTTTTATTTTTTTCTTTGCCCCATTCTCCTAAACCCTAATTCATCTAGAAATACTTCCACTTTTTCCAAACTAACCCAGTTAAAATAATATGGGAAAACAAGTTTCTTTAAATTTTTAACTTGTTTCACCGCGCTATTATCTTTCTTTATTTAAAAATATAAAAATTATCCACTCCTTTTTTCGATAAATCAAGAAAACCCAAAAGAAGCCTTGAACATATCTATCAGAAAGAGACATCTACCATTTTATTTAAATATTGAATCCAGTCAGAAATCTATAAGAATTTATTAGAGAATTAATCAAATCATAAATGAGAAAAGGGTAATTTGGGGATATAAAAAAATAAACAATTGAATAGGAATCTTTTTCAAAGTTAACTGAACTCAACTGAAGGGGGTATTTTTGCAAAGTGAAAATTTAGGGGTCTTTCTTGCAAATGAAAAAACTGGGGGCAATTGACACTAACCCCATAATATAGGGGGATTTTGTAATTTACCCAAAAAACTGAGAACCTAAAACAACTCAAATCAAATTCTCGTTGCAATAGTATTGACTATTAATAAATTAAACCAAAAATACAACATTCAAACCAACTTTATATAAATCTTAAGTGTTTATTATATACATTTAAATCAAACCAAATTAGATTACGTGGGATCGGATCGGGGTGGATCCATATTCGAATTCAAATCACCCCTCACCAAATCGCATTTTAAATTCAAACGATAAATGGATACCATTCGTAGCCTTAATGAGGCTAACTTGGAATAATAAATGAGGAACCCACTTGGACCGACAAAATGTTTCATATATGTGATGCATAATGCTATCATACTTTATTGCAAGTATTTGGACATGCTTACTCATTTTGGTAATAATTTTTTAGAGATCGGTTCAAACACCCATTACAGTCTTGCATTAAGAATATCTTCATTCATATTTCTGTGATTTATTTTATGGGGAGATATTCCCAATACAAGACTATAAAGATTGTTCGAATGGGGCTTGCACTGATTGAATCCAGTTTGTGCAAAAGGGTTGAATCTAAACTCTGATTTACTTTTGCCTCATATTTGACTTTTTATGTGTATATTAAAAGTAAAACAGAAAGTAAAATGAAGTGACCTCACTTTAAATGAAAGAGAATGAAGGTAGTAATACCCGTGGTTGGACTGCTCCAAGGAATCTACATGAGGTCAAGAGCTTCCATAGACTTGCCTCATCCTACAAGCGGTTTATCAAGGATTTCAGCACAATTATGGCCCCCATCACAGACTGCATGAAGAAATGGGCCAAGGTAGCCAATAAGCCAAACAACCTTCTGGGATCATAGTCAAACTCGTCAACACCCCAATCATAGCACTTCTAAACTTCAACATCTTGTTCGAGCTCAATTGTGATGCTTTCAAGGTCGAGATAATTAAGAGTTGTTCTAATGCAACTAAAGCAACCTATTGCCTTCTTCTGTGTGAGAAGCTAACAGGCCCCTCCCAGCTAGGGGTGTAAATGGATCGAATTTAAATCAATTCGGTAATATCCGAATTCGAATTCAATTAGAAAATCTGATGTCAAATTTAATTCGATGTCCGACAGATATTGAAAATTAATATCCGAATTCGAATCTAATTAAATATTCAAATATTCGATTTGATTCAAATTCGATTAATTAATATTTTATTGATATAAAATATATAAATATATAAATTATTTATATAACTTAATTATTATGTATATAAATTATATAAAATATTTTATATATTATATATAAGAATTAAATAATCTCCTCTACCCACCTCGTGAATCCTTCACTCCACAATGCTCGCTGACTTAGTCCATTACTTCAAAGCCCGCCGCCCAACTATCAACATCCTGTAGAGTTGTCCTCCTGAAGCTTTCATTTTCTAAGAGAGTTTTGTATTTTGTTGTTTAGCTAATTTTGTGCCCTGTATTGATTATTAGAGATTGAGACTTGAATATAAAACTTTAGTTCTTCTGTATAAAATCTAAAATTCTAACTGACTCATGAATATTATTTTTCTATAGATTGACAATTTTTTTGCAAGCACTTGAAGTACTTAAATTATGCAATTGTTTTACATAACAACTAGTCTGACCGTAAAGGCTAAAAGGGGCCATTATCCAATTTGGGATCAGGAGGGGTGGACTAGATACAGATTTGGCATTTTTTTTGTAGTGTCTGCTCTCAAACAGAACGTGTGTTCTGATGATTGTTAGTTTGGGATTTTACCACTGCATCATATAATGATCCCTTACAATTAACTTGACTCTACTAGTATTTTGCAGTTTGTGAGGCCCATTAAGTAGTATCATATATGTTATGTCATTCGAGCATGTGATTCATATGATCCGAAAATGGAACCGTTATGGTTACCGGTTTTTTGGTCAACGGTTTGACCATTCGATTCGAATGAATGGCCCATTCTAACAACAAAAAATTATAAAATCGTTCTGGCCACCGGATTTCAGGTCGACGGTTCGATTGTCCGGTTTGAACGAACAATCCATTTTGACAACAAAAACTATAAGCAAAAAATTGAGTGTATGAGGTCCATTAAGCAATACCATACGTGTTATGTCATTTGAGCGTGTGACTCATATGACCCGAAAATGGAACCGTTCTGGCCATCGGTTTTTAGGTTGACGGTTTGACCATCCGAGTTGAACAAATGGCCCATTCCGACAACAAAAATTAAAAAAAAAAAAAACAGCTAAAAACCATTGAACGGGTCAACAGGTTAACGGTTTGACCACTCGGTCAATGGGTCATTGGCCAATTCAACGGTTTTTGGTCAGGGACTGGGATTGGGGTAAAACGGAATTGATTGCCTAGACGGTTCCCAATTAAAAAAATAAAAAACGAACAAGCGACCCATTCTGACAAAAAAAAATTACAGGCAAAAAATTGAGTCTGTGAGGTCTATTAAGCAGTATTATATGTGCTGTCATTCGAACGTGTGACTCATATGACTTGAAAACGGAACCGTTTTGGCCACTGGTTTTTGGGTCACCAGTTCGAGTGTTCGGGTAGGATGGTGTAGTCACTAGGGAAAACTAACCATAAAAGACCATAGAACTTTCATTAACACAAGGCAGTTTTAACTTGGTAAACCTTCTTATCTTGGGACTAAACAAAAGAACATTGTCAGATGAAAAGGCCAAGTTTAGTTAATTTTTATGTTTAGCCCAAGTAGCATGGTTCATAAATGCTTAAAACTGCATTGCTTAATGTGTATGCGTATATTATGGAACCTTAACTTGTGTATTTAGCCTACAAAGTAGTGCCTTATTTTTACTTTTGTAAAGAAGGATGCAAAAGGCAACTCAACTCAGTTCATGGAAAAAAACCAACCACCACAACAACTACCACTTGCATATTTGAACTCATTAAGAAATAAATATTTGAACATAATAAGCCTGCAACTTGGGCCAGGTTGGTCCGAACTCAACTTTAACTCAATTCGAAAAAGTTGGGTTAAGTTGGGTCAGGTTGATGCTCGGGTTAGGGTTAGGGTTGAAATTTATGAGTCCAACTTTAATTTAGGTTGGGTTAGGGTTGATCTCTCGGGCAATCCAATCCAATCCGAACCCAACTCTATACTAAAACCTTAATAACATATTTTATATTTTTGAATATTTTATTCTTTATCTCCTCTCTGTTGTTTTACCACCCATAGTTTGTTGTCCAAAAAAAATCTATTAAAAGTCATAACTCATAATAAACTATAATCAACAAAAAAAATAATAATAAAGCATAGGATTAATATATAGTGAAAGTTGAACTAAGATATGAAATTAAGAAGTTCTACAAGATTATAAGAAAAGGGAAGGAGGTTGGATTAACCCAACCTGAAGTTGACTTTGTGTTAGGTTGGATTGAATTAGGTAGATCAGATTGAAGGTCAAATTGGGTTAGGATTGAGATTGGGGGTTTAAAATTTAGGATTGAACTAGGATTGGCCTCAATCCAACCTAACCCAGCCCGACTTGCGGCACTATCACACAATCAAAAGAGGCAAAAGTAAACCATACATTTCTTCCAATGTATTGGCTTTTCTAAAACATCCAATTTTGAAGTGTTGTGTACATCCCTTGTAGAGATCCAATCTCAACCACTTCCCACGTTCAAAGAATTTGGACTAACCACTATGACTGTCCCACATGAAAGATTGCCTAACATCAAAAATCAATATGATTAAATTTACATATTTTTAATCTTCCAAGTTTTCCACCTCTTTCACAGAGAGACCCTGAATGAGACAGTTGTGATGATCATCTATCTGTTCAATCTGATTCCTGGCCCATCTATCCCCTTACATGGGCCTAAATCCTATGAAGATTTGACACGTAAACTGCTAAGGTATTGTCTTGTGGGCCCAACCCATGATATAAATTTACTTCTCTAATAGTCTAATGTC